CCCCATTTTTTTGTACTAGGCTCCATTCCCTGAGAACAATACAGCACTACATAAGCCTCACTCCCGATCGCTCCTCAGGAAGCCTACGTACCAAAACATCGAGCTGCTTAAATAAATGAATTTGTTATTTATACTTTATACTATCATGACTCTCCCTACCTACTCTGCTTTTAAACAATGGTGATGATGATGATGACGATGATGATGATGATGATGATGATGATGATGATGATGATGATGATGATGATGATAATGATGATGATGATGATGGACTCATACCATTTTGATCATCTCTTCGTTGTCTCCAACCAGTGAAGAAAGCAATGGCGTAATGACGGAGCCCGGACTGTAGGGAGACGAGAGAAGACCCGCTGGTTATGACAAACACTAACGACTTAGCCCATGATTTAACTAACGATGCTTTAACCAGTGATGATTTAACCAGTGATGATTTAACCCAGATGATTCAACTAGTCATGATTCTACCAGTGATGATTTAACCCTGATGATTTAACCATTGACAATTTGAACCATCGATGATCTAACCAAAGATGATTTAACCATTGATGAAACGACCAGTGATTTAATCAATAGTGATTTACCAATTGTGATTTAAGCGATGATTTAACCAAAGATAATTTTTAAAATATGAATTAACCAAAGATGATTTAACCAAAGATGGTCTAACCAGTGATTTAACCAATGATGATTTAAGCCTTAATAATTTAACCAATGTTGATTTAGATCTAACTAGTGATGATTTAACCAGCGTTGACTTAACCAATAATGATTCAACCAATGATGATTTAACCAGGGATGATTTAGCCAATGGTGATTTAGCTAAAGATGATTTAACAATTAGTGATTTTACCAAAGAGGATTTAACCAAAGATAATTTAACCATTGACGATTTGACCATTGCTGATCCAACCAAAGATGATTTAACCATTGACGATTTGAACCATGGATGATCTAACCAAATATGATTCAACCATTGATGAAACGACCAGTGATTTAATCAATAGTGTTTTACCAATTATGATTTAAGCGATGATTTAACCCAAGATAATTTGTAAAAGTATGATTTGACCAAAGATGATTTAACCAAAGATGGTTTAAGCAGTGATTTAAACATTGATGATTTAACATAAGATCATTTTTAAAGGGATGATTTAACCAAAGATGATTTAAGCAAAGCTGGTTCAACCTGTGATTTAACCAATGATGATTTAACTAGTGATGATTTAACCAAACATAATTTAACCATTGATGATTTAACCAAAGACGATTTAGCCAAAAAATGATTCAACCATTGAGGATTTAATCAAAGATGATAAAATCATTGATGATTTAATTATAATATATCATTTAAGCAATGACTAAACCGACGATTTAATTGACCATGAAACCAATGATTTCAATAAAGACTTAATCAAAAATACATAATTATACATTTAACTGTGCGTTTGTGTATAGGTAAATATGTAGGACTCCGAAGCGTGTCTGGACTTCTTAGCCTGTCCTCTCCTGGTTGCTCTCCGTAGCGCGGCTTTTTTTTTTTAAAATTAAATTTGCACACCCTTTTTTTAATGTTCCACGCGAACTCTTTCAATCGAGCATTCAAGTTGCACACCGAACCAGTAATTTACATCACTCTTTCATAAATGGCGTCTTAAAAGAGAAAAAAACCAACTTGTTGACACGATCAAGGAAAACCATATACATGTAACTGACCATCACGGACCAGAAACAATCTACGAGTCTTTGAGAAGATCGTACTACATATTTACCCTGCTGTAAGAGAAGCCGTGAAGTTGCTTACTTACTTGTCTTACTTGTCCACTGTGTTGGGGTCACTGCAGTCGGAACATGTCCATCTCTGCTCCCCCCCACCCCCCACCCCTCTTCAGGATCCATCCCAGAGTCTGCCTGCTTATAATCTCCATCATAAGCCGAAGACTCTCCCAATAAGATGTCCAGTTCACGCAACTTACCCCAATAGCCGATGACAGGAAAAGAAAATCCTAACTTTTGGAGGTTTTACATACATTTGCAATATTGCAAATGGTTATTCTCGCTTTCCTTTCAATTACGAACAGTGAATTAAGTAAAAACCAAAATGCACCCCAAGTGAGCGCGCACAAAAAAGTGTGCTAAACAAAGGACACGCTACAGGGCGCAACTCGGAAATGGTCACGCTACGGAGTCCGGACACGTCTCGGAGTCTTACAGAACATATCTTACATTATATATATA